GGGCTGAGGATGGGGGTGGGGCCCTGGGGGGCTGAGGACGGGGTGGGGCCCTGGGGGTCTGAGGATGGGGTGGGGCCCTGGGGGTCTGAGGACGGGGTGGGGGCCCCTGGGGGGCTGAGGATAGGGTGGGGTCCTGGGGGGCTGAGGACGGGGTGGGGGTCCTGGGGGTCTGAACATGGGGGTGGGGTCCTGGGGGGCTGAGGAGGGGGTGGGGGTCCTGGGGGTCTGAACATGGGGGTGGGGTGCTCTGGGGGGGTTGAGGACGGGGTGGGGGTCCTGGGCGGGGAGTGAGATCATATATTCAGCAGAATCTCAAACAAAAGCCCCCGGCTGTCTGCCGCTCAGGCCTCTCCAGCGATGAGCGATGAATTACCCACAATGCCCGGCCAAGCGCAAGTGGCTCTTGGCCCGGATCCTAAACTAATTCCTACATGTTCGTGTGTGTAATTTCCCCCCCTCCCTCTCCCTCATCGGAGGGAATACGAGGGAGGCGAGGGGGGCAGAAGGAACCCCGAGCGGAGGCAGGGGGCCGCCCACCCAGCTGGCATCGGCCTGGCTGCAGACGGGGAGGTGGGTCTGGAAACTACCAAGCTGGGGTTGGCAGCCCTGGGGGCGGGAACAGGCTGGGGGAGGGGGGTGTCTGCCTGCTGAGTGGCCTTTGGTCAGCGCCCTGCAGCCCAGAGCTTCCTACCCAGCCTGCCTGTCCCAAGTGCTGTTCTGAGTGCACGCTGAGTGCTGGACTAAGTCCTCCCACTTCGTTTGCCCTTTGCCCGGTCTCTGTCTGACTTGAGCCCTGCCCCTCACACCACAGTCCGGCCGCCCCTCGGCTCAGAGCCCTCCCCGCCTCCGCCTCCCTCCCCAGCCACCTGGAGCTTTGCGCCCTCGCTGTGCGACCTCAGACAAGCAGCTTGGCCTCTCTGGGCCGCAGACCCGTCACTTCAGAACAATCCAGCCTTCTCCACCCCTAGAGGCAACTGGACAGGTTTCTGCGGCCTTTCAGCTGCAAGCCTACTCTGCGCCGGGCAATGGAGCTGCGACCACGTCCCCCCCCCACCCCCCGCACCCCCGCACCCCCCCTCGGCTATGTCCGGGGGTTTCTGGACGTCACCGACGTGGGGAGATGTTCGGATCCTGCGAGGGCTAAGCTGGCTGCACGGCCCCAAACTCGCACCCTGAAGATGCTCTTACAAAAGATCCATTTTTATTCTTTGGTGTGTCTGTGCACGTGGGTGCCGTGCCCACAGAGGCCGGAAGGGGGCGACGGGCTGGTGGCCTTGGCCCCACCCCAGGTGGGCAGGAGGCGACCCCAGCACAGAGAGGCCTCAGAGCTGCCGGAGGTCACACAGCACTCGGCCTCCTGCCCCCGCCAGCTGGACCCCTGCGGTGGCCACGTCCTCGGCCACACGTGGTCCCGTGGGTGCCCGGCTTCCTCAGACACGGGGGGGGGGATCCCCACAGCAGCTATTTCTGCAGCCGCAGGACAGCGCGTCACATCCGTGGGCAGCGCCGGAACTCGGGACGCGGCTATTTCTGGAGGCCGAGGTGAGAAGAGGGGGCGGGAGGAGGAGCTGCGGCCGGGGACTTCCAGGGCCGGAGCGGGATCAGGACAGAGCCACAGCCGCTGTCTGTCCCGACAGGACGGTCCTGCTGTGTGCAGGCTGGGGGGCGAGGTGTGCCCTGGGACAGAGGGCGTGCAAAGGCCCCGGGGCGGGTGGAGCCCGTGCTGCAGGAGGCTGGGGGGGGCAGGGTTTTGACCTGGGGAAAGTGGGAGCCGTGGAGGGAGGTGCGCAGAGGAAGGGGGGGCTGACCGAGGGGCGGGAGGGGGACTTGGCGGGGCCTGGGGACACTGGAAACTGCTTTTCCCCTCACAAGTCCCAGGCCGCAAGAGACTGACAGGCCCAGAGCCAGGCCTGAGGGTGCGGACAGGCAGGGTGGTGGGTGCTAGGGGACAGGGAGGGGGTCCCCAAGAGCTCTCCTGCCAAGAGCGGGTCAGCCTGACCCTGGCTGGACTGATTCTGGAGGGTACTGTGCTCGAAGCACCCAACGGGGAGCCTGGGACAGCACCAATACCTGCTAGGTTTAGTCCACCATCACCCTCATCGGCATGAGAACCGATCCCAGAGAGCACTTGAGTTAGTTAGTCTGCGAGAACCCCGGCTTTTCCGGGTGATCCTTCCCACCCGCAAGGCCCACGAAGCCTCGTGGCTCAAAAGCAGCTGCGTGAGCACCTGCCATCGCCACCTCCTCCACGCTCCAGCCGTTTCCCCTTTCCACACATTTCCAGGGGGTGCAGACACTGCAGGGGACACACGGGTGACCTGAGGCCACGCAGGCCCCACGGGGCCACCGAGGTGGGGACCCCAGCGCCAGCCACCCGCAGCCTCCCGGCCCCTCTGGCGCCGCCGCCAATTTATCTCTTTCTCCTCCGTAAACAAATGTCAGGGAAAATAAATAGTTTTTAACAGGCTCATTAATTGAGTTCGGGAAGGAGGTCCCTCCCCCAGGCTACAGCGGCGGCGCTGTCCGCGCGGGACAGGAGGGGAGGACGACAGGGGAGGACGGGAGGGGGCTGGAGGGAAACAGGACCGCCCACGCTGCCTGATGTCTCAGGGGAAACTGAGGCCTGAGAGGAGGCCCCCGGACTTGAACCTGGGACCTCTGGCTGTCAGGGGGCGTGCCACTTGCAGCGGGAGCTCGCTGATTGGCTGCGGGGTGGGTCCAGCGAGTCCCAGGCAGGCCCCCCTGACTCCACCTCCACAGCGCCCGGGTCACGGGGTCACAAGGCAGCGAGCGCCACCCCTCAGACTGGCTCAGAGAGGGCACTGAGGCCTGCGGCCACACAGCAGTCCCCGGGCACGCGCGCGCCCTGGGAGGGTGGGAACCGGGGGGGGGGGGCACACAAGAGTTCGGGTCGGCCCTCCGCCCAGGGGCTGAGTGACCCTCTCTGTGGCCCGGCCAGTCACCCGGCAGCCAGTGAAGGGTCCCTGCGGTGACGCAGGCACAACCCACTGCCAGCCAGGGAAACTGAGGCACGAGCGTGGCTCCCGGAGTGTGGGGTGCAGGGAGTGTGGGGTGCAGGGGAGTGGGGTGCAGGGGAGTGTGGGGGTGCAGGGGAGTGTGGGGTGCAGGGGAGTGGGGTGCAGGGGAGTGTGGGGTGCAGGGGAGTGTGGGGTGCAGGGGAGTGGGGTGCAGGGGAGTGGAGTGCAGGGGAGTGGGGTGCAGGGGAGTGGGGTGCAGGGGAGTGGGGTGCCCCCCAGATCTTGAGGCTCCATCAGGTTTTTTTGGACCGAGACCCGGGACGGAGCAAACACGGGTGGACTCGGGTGAGACAGAGTGAGTGACATGGTGTGGCCCAGGCCGACCTTGAACTCCTGAGTGCTGGGGTGACTGCCGGCCTCTGAGAAGCTGCTCTTTCTGGGGTCTCTGCCTCAGTTTCCCCCGTTTTGACGGTGGGAGGTTCCACACGGTCGGTTTCCTCCGGCCCGGCGCCCCGCTCAGCCCTGGAGAATTCTGGGAGCTGACGGCTGGGACTCGAACTCAGGGCCACAGGCTTGGCGGCCGGCGCTAACCATAGCCTGGGCTGGCCCCGCACCTGCTAGACAGCCAAGGACGACCTTGACCCCCAGCGTCTCGCCCCTCCAGGGCTCTGGGCGTCGTCTGGGGACCCCCCCCCCCCGCCGCCTCCCCGCAGAAGCGGGGTGGCCTGGTTAGGCAGCCAGCGGCGGGGAACGCCCCAGTTCGCAGCGCTGAGTCATCCGGCTCCAGGGCCTGGGGATGAGGCAGGGGGATGCCAGGGACTCACCGCGACCCTCCCACGGCTGAGCGGCCACTGTATACATCCGCAGCGATGCGATGCACAGCACAGAGAGGCCCGGCCGCTGCCGCAGGCCACACAGCCTCACAGCAGCAGAGGTGGGATTTGAACCTTGGTCCCCGGGAGGCAAGTGAGAAGCCAGAGCTGCCACGCGCGCTGTGTGATGAAGACCCCCCCCCCGGGCGGCGCTGCATCGCCACCCGGCGTCCGCCGCCCCGCGTCCGCCGCCCCGCGCCCGCCGCCCCGCGTCCGATTTGCTGGTCACGGGTTAATTACAAACTGGATTCGGTTGGCCTCAGGCGGGTGCGGACGCCAGGAGACAACCCCACGGAGGCGACATCCGGCCCACGGGCGTGCAAGGTCACGGGGTCGCGGTTCCCCGCTGGGTGCCCGGGACAGACGCGGGCGGCAGCGGACACAGAGACACAGAGAGGCCTAGAAGCCCAGCCGGGCTGCACAGCACGAGCACCGGGGGGGCAGCGAGGTCACCGGAAAGCAAAGGGGGGGGTCACCGGCCAGAAGGAGGGGGACGTTTGACCCCGCTCCAAGGAAGCGGGCGGTGCGGGACGCGGTGGGGGCGAGCCCGGGTTTCGCTCTCAGCTAGGGTTAAAGGGCGTCAATCCCCGGCCTCAGCTCCGCCAGGCGCAGGGAGGGGGAGGGGGGTCAGCGCGGAAGGAAGGGGGAAAAAGGACAAAATGACAGCGCGGACCCCTCGGTGCCCTTCAAAGGAGGGTGGACGACCCGGCACCTTCTCCACAGAACGGGGGCCGGAGGTCAAGCGGGACGGCCCCGACCTCACGGGCGCGCTGTGCAGCCTCGGACTCAGTCACCCTCTCTGGTCACCCCGGCAAACCGCACTTCCTCAAGTCAAAGTGGCCCCTGGTGACACCACCGAGCGGGCCGACCCCCACCCGGGGTCCGTTCTCCCCCAGCAGCCCCTCCCCGTCTCCCGACTTCAGGAGAGACTCCTGTCCCTGCAGCCCGGGCCTTTGCTTGGGGACCCCTCGGTGGGTCCGGTCGCCGCGTGGCTGTCCGTCCCGTTCCCTCCGCGCCCCCAGCTCGTCGAGCTGGGCCACTGAGGGTGGAGGAAGGGCGGCGGGGCCTCCTCCACCCAGGACTTCCAGGTTCTGGGATGTCAGGTGCACCGGGGACGCTGGACCAGAGAGGGCGAGAGCCGAGCCCGGGGATGCACAGCAAACGGGAAAGAGTCAGCCTTCGGTGCACATCCTCCCTCCTGCGGAACCCTCGGCTGAGGGCTCCCCGCAGGAGCCAGAGACACCCCCAAAAGGCAGCCACAGCCACTGAACGGCCCACAGACCCAACCAGACCCCAAGTCCGGGGCGGCAGACGCCGCTCGGCGCTGCTCCACGTGCCCCAACCCGGCGGGTTTATAAATACCGTCTTTATTCTCAGGCGTCTCCTCGGGCTCGCCCGCACCCCGAACTCTCTCGACGCCCCCTCCTTCCCCCCACGCGGCGGCTGAGACAATCACAGGGAACAGGTGAGAGCGGGGCCAAGGGGCGTGCTGCGGGGGCCACCGCGTCACTTCACGGTCGGTCCTCCTGGCCACCAGGACGGGGCCACCGCGGCGGGGCCACCAGGACGGGGCCACCGCGGCGGGGCCACCAGGACGGGGCCACCGCGGCGGGGCCACCAGGACGGGGCCACCGCGGCGGGGCCACCAGGACGGGGCCACCGCGGCGGGGCCACCAGGACGGGGCCACCGCGGCGGGGCCACCAGGACGGGGCCACCGCGGCGGGGCCACCGCGGTGAAGCCACAGGTCTGCAGGCACCGAGTGACACCGTGGAGAACGAGAATCAAGACGGCAGGGGAAACCGAGTCACCAAGAGGGACTCGGCCGCCTCTGAGTCCACGAGGGAGGGACACGGGACACCCCGACTCCCTAGGGTGGTGGAGACAAGAGCCCCAGAGGCCCCGCGTCGGGTCCAGTGTGCGCGAGTCACAGGTCACGGTGCCAACCGGGAACCGAGGGGGGCCGTGGGGCGCGGGGTCCCCTTCTGTACCTGCCATCCACAAAGACCCCCCTCCAACCCACAGCCACCCTGACGGCCATCCCCGGGACGGACCACGCAGCCCTGCCCGGCCACGCCCGGCCGGCGTCGCTGTCCCCTTCGGGCGCCTCTGGACGGCACCCGCCACAGCCCCCTGCCCTGGGGACACCGATGTCACCTCCCGGCGGGACGGCGGATGCGGCGGCGCTCGCAGGCGGCCCGGGCTCCCGCCGCGGTTTGTCCGCCCTGAGCCCAATTAGGAGGCGGCTCGGGGCGGTCTCGGCGGCGGTGGCTGCTCCCCCCGGGGGACTGGGGGTGGGGGAGCCGTCCCCAAGAAGAAATGCAATGTCATGGCGAGGGTGTGTCCCCCTCATCCGCCCTGGGGCCCCGGAGGGGACAGGACGGGACTTTGTGGGTCTCTGGAGGAGACGGCAGTGATGGGCAGGGAGGCGGAGAGCCAGCCTGGCGCGGATATCGTCTGGGACCCGAGTGTCCCCCCACTGTCCCGAACTGGGGACTCTGCGGTTGGCCGGGCGCGAAGCCGCCCCCAGCCCCAGCTGCCCGCCTGCCACCGCCAAGAAATCAGCTGGCAGAAGGCAGGAGCGGGGACAGAAGGCAGCTGGAGATTGACAGGGGGAGGGACACAAAGAACGGAGAAAGGACGGGGCAGGGGGAGGGGAGCCTATGCAAATGGCAGCTCCGACTCCCGGCCTCTAATGAGGAGCCCTAGGAGGAGGGTCCCAGGCTAGCCCAGACAAAGCCGACAGCGGGTTCTCCGCACCCGGAGGGAGACACAGAAGCCAGGGCCCGGGATCCCGGTGCAGAAAGATGGGCGCAGACGCCGTGTCCCCCAGTCTAACACCCTCGGGGTACCCCTCGCTCTGTATCAGAGTCTTTGGGTCCTCAAGTGCCCGTCCTGGATGGGGACACCTCAGAGGTCTCCCCCTGAGCATCAAGGACGCTTTTGGATGAGGGAGGACTCTCCTGGCTCGGGTTGGAGAGATGAAGTGGGGGTGAGGGAATCCCAGGCAGGCCAGGAGACACCCCGGGGAAGTGACCATTAGGGGGTTCGACTGGATGGAGGGATAGGCGGGGGGTGACCCGGAAGACGGGCGCTCTTACACCTGCTGCAGGTTTTCGGGGGCACCTGGAGGCAGACCGAGAACAGGGAAAGGGGGTAAAGGGACAGGATTTTGGGGGTGTGGCAATCAAAAGGATCCTAGTGTGTAGTGGTGCCCGGGTTTGGGGGCGAGGACGCTCCACAAAGACCGGGGAACTTGGCCCCGACGCAGCGCGCGCTGCAACCCGGGGTCCTCGTTCCAGGACCCCTTTCCACCTGCGCCCCAGGCCCCGCCCCCGGTGACGTCACCACCCTCAGACAGCCGGGGGGCTCCCGGGGTGTGTGTGGGGGGGCCTCAGGGCCGCAGGCTGGCTCTCCGGGGATCCCCACGGGGCCCCACACCGCGAGGATGGGAGGATGCAGAGCCCCAAAACCGGGCCTGGGGGAGGTCGGGGCGGGTACCGGGGCCGCGGAAGGGTGGGGCTGAAGCCCCAGGTGTGCCGAGGTGCCCGGCCCCGTCCGCAGCTCCCGACGCCGACACCCCGCACCGCGTCCCCGCCCGGCTGGTGCAGTCGGCGACCCTGGGCACCCGCCAAGTCGCCCGCGCGTCCCCATCCCTCCGGGTCCCCGTCCCTCCCGGCCTCCATCCCTCCGGGTTCTCGTCCCTCCCGATCACCATCTCTCTCGGTCCCCATCTCCTTCGGTCCCCGTCTCCCTCCATCCCCATCCTTCCCGGTCCCCCAATCCCTCTCCCCTCTGCAGAATCCGACGGGGCTGCAGCCCGGACCCCCTCGGAGCACAAAGGCCGAGAAGCCTGGGAGCACAAAGCCGGCGCCGCCCGCCCCGCCCCCGTGTCCCCCGTGCACCCCCCGAGCGCCCCGTGCACCCCGGTACCTGCGGGCTCCGCATGCTGCTCCCGGCACCGGGTCGGCCCGGGCTCCGGCGACTTCGCGTGCGCGCGCGGCCCGAGCTGCCTGGCGGGCGGGGCGAAAACCCACTGCGGCTCGCGCGCCCCCAGCCGGTGACGTCACCCTTCCGCCGCGGCGGCCGCGGGGCTGGCCGTGTGAGGAACTGCGCATGCGTGCCGAGGAAGGTCCAGTGAGGAGGCGCGGCTTGGTCACGTGCTGTGGGAGCCTTTAGAGGGCCGCGGGAGCACGTGGGGCGCGGGACACGTGGGCCCGGCCTGCCTCCCCTGTCTTCCCTTTAAACTCAAGGTGTGCTATAGCCCAGGCTAGCTTCGAATTCTGTGCGGCTGAGGACGACCTGATCCTCCTGCCTCCGCCTTCCCGTTCTGCTTCCATTGGCCAAAATATCCTTTCCCTAAAATCTTTCCCATCAAGCCGGGCTTGCTGGCTTAAGAGGCTGAGGCAGGAGGATGTCAAGTTTCTGGACAGCCTGGGGCTAACCATGAGTTCGAGACCAGCTTGGGAAAAGCAGGGAGACCCTGACATGAGATGAAAGAGGGGCTCGAAATAGCTCGGTGCATAGAGGTGTTTGCTGCCAAGCCTGAGTACTTGAGTTCGATCCCCGAGGTCCCACAGTGGGAGGCGGAACCCGACTCCACACACATGCGCACACGCATGTCAACGGAGCTACTAGACATGTCAAAAAATAAAAACACAGCAAAAGACTGAAGAAAACCTTAAAACAAAGTTGTCACGGGCGTGGGGCTGCCAGCCCGTCAGACGGCAGCAGCAGGAGGATTGCTGCGAGGTCCAGCCTGGGCTATACACCGAGATCCTGCCTCAGGCAACAAAACGATTTTATTTTACAATTTGGGTTTCTCCGCTTCAGAATTCATTCATTCGGGCCGGAGCTGGAGACCTGAGCAAGCGCCTGGAGTCGGGCGGAAGGACTGGGTCATAAACAGGGGAGAGTGTCATGAATAATTGACAAGGCGCCTAAATTAAGAACAGGGCTTCCCAGGCCGGCACCGAGGGAGGCCAGGTTTGCGGAGCCGGCTTGTCCTCTTGCCTGGTGGGGTGGACCCTGTCTGCCCTGCGTGGTCCACGCACCAAGCGCAGCTTGGCGAGGCTGGCTGCGCACAGTAGGTGCCTGAGCTTGCCTTCAGAGGGCCTTGGTGTGGTTGCTTGTGCACAGAGGCACTTGAAATCTGCGCACTCCGAGGCGATGCCTGGCCTGGTTTGCTGCGCACAGTAGGTGTCCAGCCTGGCATTTCCCCTGCAGGTGTTTGGCACGGTTTGCTTTGCACGCGGCAGGCACGCATACTATGGAGCTGGGGGCTGGCAGGGCTGGCCGTCCATCAGGGAGGGAACCAGGTCTCGTCCTGTCTGTCCGAGCTGAGTAACCGCTTCGGCCCCCCGGGTCCTGGTGAGCAGTGAAGGGGAACGTGTAAACCGCGCGGGTCTGAGCGTCTGGAAGCTTCCGGCGGCCATTCATCCACCCGCACAGCCAGGCCGTGTTAAATGCAATGTACAGGAAAGTAGCAAACAGGACAATCGGCCTGCAGCTGACAGGGCGCAGACAGGTCACAATACATCAGCTCAAAGTGGGTTATCCATGCAGCCGCGGCCCGCCAGGCTGCGTGGCTCCAGCCACAGTGCCTCCCCCGCGCTCCTCCCACGCAGGCTCCGGGCTACCCCAGGACCCTCGCACATGCTGTGCCCTTGCCCTAGCGTGCTGCCCAGAACCGACCCTTGCCAACCCCGATTCCTGACAGATTGTTCTCCATATTGTGGTGAAGTGACTGTGAATTTCCTAGGACTGATGTCATGAGGACCCTTTGGTTTGTTTCCCATGAGTCACCCTACTCTAGCTGTGCACCTTGATGTCCTGTCTGTGTGGGGCTGCAGGAAGGATAAGAGGCATCCTGCCAACCACCTCAGGGGTGGAGCCCCGCCTAGAATCCCCCAGTGAGGGGCTGTGGGCGTGGTCAGGGTGGAGCCCCGCCTAGAATCCCCAGTGAGGGGCTGGGGGCGTGGTCAGGTGGAGCCCCGCCTAGAATCCCCAGTGAGGGTCTGGGGGCGTGGTCAGGGTGGAGCCCCGCCTAGAATCCCCAGTGAGGGGCTGGGGGCGTGGTCAGGGTGGAGCCCCGCCTAGAATCCCCCAGTGAGGGGCTGGGGGCGTGGTCAGGGTGGAGCCCCGCCTAGAATCCCCCAGTGAGGGGCTAGAAGCCTGGTTCAGATAACAAGGTGGGCCAATGCCCAACTTTGCAACGTGAGTTTTGTGGCCTCCAGCCCCTGAGGGAAGGTGCTGAGCAGACCAGTGGGATCCAGTCTTCTCTGGAGGGGGCCGGTTGGGCCCAGCAGGTGTCCCGACCCGTAGGTTCTAGGCTTCTGCTTTCTGCCCAGCCTGACACATTGGGGGGGAGGGTGACTCACTGTTGGGTGAAAAGTTTGTTCGCTCTGGAACATTCCTTCCCTACTGCACGCGTGGGGTGGGAGGGGCTCTCCCCAGACGCCCACCCTCCTCTTGGCAACTTCCAGAACCTAGTAATTATTTCCTGCGTGTGTGTGTGTGTGTTTTGCTGAGATTCCGGGGAAGCACCGAGTGTCTCCAGACAGGATTCTTCTGGCCAAGTGGGATCCTGTGACCACCCTGCGGTGTCCTGGGCTCTGTCCCCAGCACCATGATGGCCTGTCACCCGGGAGACAGAGGCAGGGGGATCGGGGGCTCAAGGTCAGTCTTGGCTCTAGAGTGACCTTAAGGGCAGCCTGAGGTACAGAGAGAGACCGGGAGGGCTGTGGGCAGGGGCTCAGGGTATAACCTGGGCAAAGGGCTTGTGTTACATCCCTGGACCGACGTTCCACATCTACAAACACAATGCAAAGTCTCTGCCGTCGTGGGAGGCTTGGGACCGGGTCAAGAAGGCCAGTCGTGACGGGGGATGCCCAGAAAATGCGGCCCCATCACCTACCCCTGCTACAGCTGGAGAAACTGAGGCTGTAGGGGAAGAAAGGTATTGTCGGGCTCTGGGCCGAGTTTGGTTTTGTTTGATTTTTTTGAGACAGAGTCACACTAGCCCAGGTTGACCTCCCATGTCCCATTCTGCAGCCACAGCCTGCTGAGTGCCACCACACACCGGCCCAGACGATGCCCTTCTGTCTCCGCGGACGCCCCCGTGATGTTAGAGAAAAGCCAGGGGCCAGGACGCAGCTGTGAAAAGGTCCAGGGCGGGGGGCAAGGCCATGCAAGGGCCCCTGAGCTGGAGGAGGTGGGCTCCTGGAAGGACTGGGGCCACGACCTGGAAGGTGGGAGCCGTGGAGCGCAGTGGCCGAGGGAGCTGGCCCTGCTCACCGGCGCCCCCTGGTGGCGGCTGCAGGAGACTGACCCTGGAGGAGCTGCCCGCAACCCCAGCGCTGTTCCACCCTGCGTTCCGGGCACTCTGTCCCGCGCGCATGGTTGGTGCTCTGTGAACAGAACAGGCGCAGAGAGGCTGAACACCAGCCTGGCGTCACACAGCACAGCCAGGAGAGGAAACCCATCTTTTGTTCGCGGGATGGAGTTGATTCAAGCCTGGGCGGAGGGCGGCGGGGGCTGGAAATCCAGATGGGCCCCCTTTGCCCTGGCATCAAAGGCTCCCGAGAAGAAGCCACCAGGGGGAGCCCCCCACGGGGCAGGCCGGACTCCCAGGATGGGCTCCACACTCCCGGTGCGGATGGGCCTTGGCTGGTTGGGACCCTACGAAGACTTACACACATTTAAAATCCTTATCTGTTAAGACGGAACCAGGGCCCCTCTCTGTCTGAACCCCGGACCCTGGCACACAGATTCCCGTCCCTGTCACCCCCCCATTGTCCCCTTGTTCCTCCTATGCTTTCCTATGACCCTGCTCACCGGTGTCACCAGGCCAACCCAGGGGCAATCTTAGACACACACACAGACACACACACACACACACACACACACACACACACACACACACAGTGTTGGGACACCAAGACCCGACGGGACCAGGTGTTGGTTACTGGAACAGAATGTGCAAAGGCGCTGAACGTGAGTCTTCTTAACAGAACAGGAGTGAGGGACCCTCGGTGGGGAGGGAGGGGCTGACACCCCCACGGGGGGGGGGGGGACAGACGGACACACACACACACACACACACACCCCGCCCCGTTGTTCCCTTATCAGCTGCAGACCAGCCAGCTCTCCACTCTCCTGGTAGTATAACTGAGACTTTCCCGGTTTCAGCCGCAGTCAGCATGTGTCGGCCTCGTCGCCCCCGGATGCAGACTTGAGAGTCAAGTGATGGCCGAAAAACTAAAGAGAAAATTATTTTTAAATCCTCTTTTCTCAGGAGGAGAAAGAGACGGGATATTCCAACACAGCGGAGGCCGGGGAATGCCCCGGATGTAAAAACACACGCTTCCTGTCCTTGCAACTGCAGGGCAGGATCCTCCACAGCCACAAAGTGACTGCTCGGGCTGGCGCCAGTTCGAGGCTCAGTGCCAACTCCGGACCAAGACCGGCGAGGCCCGAGTCCTCAGGGTCATGGAGGGGTCATGGTCGGTCCACGCAGGACCCTCCCTGAGTCTTCTTGCTTTTTCTTTCATTTTTGCTTTTTAGCTTTGTTGTTTAGAAGGGGAGTGGATTCCATTTGTAGCTTAAAAAGAGAGTTCTGGAAGACGCAGGGGCAGCATTCCCCCCGCCCAAAGCTTTCTGCAGCTGTGTCAGCATTCTGAGGACAGGCGAGGTGGCTCAGTGGGTAGAGCGTTGACTCAGGATGGAAGAGGTCCTGGGGTTCTGCCCCCAGCACTGCAGGAACCTGACGTGGTGGTGCTCACCTGGCATGGGGGATCAGGAGTTCAAGGCTATCCTTGGCTACAAAGTGAACTCAGGGCCAGCCTGGGCTATCTGACACCATGTCTCATTAAAAAATAATGAATATTCTGAGCATCAGTCTCAGAGGAAAAGAAGTGCTACAGTCTACTAGTGATGTCTGCTCATTGGCTCCTGGGGAGAGCTCCGTTGTTGATTAGTGATGTCTGCCATAGCAGCTGACTAAGACATGGTGGTCTGTGTGCTACACCCATGTGCTCCCAGGAACAAGGGTCAGCTTCTGCTCAGAAAACCACTTTGTAACCTCCAAGGGCAGCATTAGGAGGGTTGTTGGCTGTTCTTATCTGAACAGGAAGGAGTGGAACCTTCCGTGTTGGCTTCTCACCTTGTGCCCGTGGGTTAAGTTGCTTCCTGTCTCTAATCCTCCATTTTCTCTTCTAAGAGAGGACAGAACAGCCTTGCCGGCCTGGGGTTACGGGTGGCCTGGCTGCCACTTGGCTGCTCCAGGCTCCTGTGTGGTGCCCAAATCAATTCACTTGCAGCTTCAGCCCCAGGCTGGTGCCAGCTCTGCCCTGGAGACCTCAGAGCCCATCAGTCGCATCCTGCACCTGCGTTCTGCCCTCCTTGCCCATGTCCACACTTGGTGACAGCAGATCGTTGAGACAGAGGCAACTGAGAGGGTTTGGCCTGAGCCTCTCCTGGGCGGCTGCCCACACACCTGGCCTGGCCATCCTCCAGCACTTGGCCTGGTGTCCCTCCACAGTTTATGTCTGCAGGTGGCTGGGACAGCACTACCCATTTTAGCACTTGGCAGGGACCCCGGCAAGGCAGAGGGAGAGGGGACACTGTGACAAGTCGTCCAGTTGGTCACAGAGTGGACTTGCCTAGTTGTTGTCTTGAGACTTTGTAGTCCAGGTTGGCCTTAAACTCACAGCAGTCCTCCTGCCTCAGCTTCCCAAGTGCCAGGATGACAGGTGACAGTCGCCATACCCAGCATCAGCTCCATGGACCATTTCTTGTGGAATTGTGCAAAATAGCAGAAAGAAAACTGGAGCCTCCCTCCTGGGTGGAACCCAAGCATTGGGGAGGCAGAGGCAAGTGGATCTCTGAGTTCGAGGCCAGCCTGATCTACAGAGTGAGTTCCAGGACAGCCAGGGCTACACAGAGGAACCCTGTCTAAAAAAAAAAAGTTACTGTATAGAAGGACACAGGGGTCACGATGTAAGAAAAACCAGAACATGGTGGGTAAACATATGCACCCAGTCGCTCGGGGCGACTGTGATAGTGGCCCCTGGGACAGGGTGCTGTGTGGCTGGCACCCTGTAAATTCATTTGAATCTGCAACAGCGGATTAAAATCTCTTTCATGATTTTGAACTGCTGTGTGACATTCTGCAAATCACTCCTTCTCTGTGCATCATGCACTGTCCTCATCTACAAAGCAGGATGGCACAGCTGAGCAGCCAGCCCTGAGGACAGTGTGTGCTCTTCAGGACCAGACCAGAAGATCTGCACAACTCCTCTGTGCCGAGCGGGTTTCCTCAGCTCTTGGCACCAGCCCCAGTCGGCACCTGCCACCTCCTAGCTGGTGACCTCACCCCTTCCTCTCTTCTCTCCCTCCCCTGCCTCCAGGGACCAGCCTCGGAGCAGGTGACGCAACCTGGGGAAACCGAGTCCCTCAGGTCAGGGGTACTCCCACCACACCGGGCCTGGAAGAGGGAAGGGAGGGGGAGAGGAGGTGTCTCCTGCTTCCTAATCATCCTCTCAGAGGAACCAGTTGCCAGACAATCAAGGAAGTCCCAGGCCCAGCAAGGGTGGCTGCTCCTTGGTGCCCTACCCCACCCCCAGCTCCTGGATCG